ATATCTTGTATACATCTTGAATAATTTAGTCAGCAAATTATTTGCATTCTACAAACAGAAATGTTACTCCCCTCTGATCATATTTACATACCTTTTGCTATCTGAAAAAGCACATCTGGGAAATCCTCCCCCGAACCTTTTACTTATCTACCAAAGTGTTAGTACTCGAATACTTCCAGTGCTCGAAACACATTTAGTAAGAGAAAGTATTACACTTTTTTATAAATTGATTATATAATTATTTTCAGTTTGTATAACTTTTTAAATATTCCATTTTTCGATTTCATGTATCATAAATCACTATATTTTTTATTATTAACCATTATCAGTCGTATAATATTATACCTCTGATTGTATTAAAACAATTTTCAGCCCTGATGATGACCCACGCCCCCGTGGGCTCGGGGGTAGAGTAGACCCACAGTATTTACCCCTTGTTGTAAAACATTTCCTAGGCACATTCCTTTAACAAATAATCAATAATCATTGTCCGTCCTACGCATACAATCTCCTTCAATTCAAATCATCTATCCACACCCTCTCCACAAGATCTTGTCCTTCTGACCTTTACACCCCTTTCCACAGATCTTCATCATTTAAACTTTCCCTTGTTGTCTGTTCCACTGCATTGTTGAATTCCATCAAAATAAAAATCCGCCATGCATCATTCTTATCCACCTTGAAAACCCTCTTTTTCCAATTCCTCTTCACAATCCAATCAGATGCTGGTTAAATACATATTATGTAATAAGCCTTTAATTTTCTTTAGACATTATTTTTTTTCTCTTATTCTGAATTTTCATCACTACTCACAAAGCATTGTGAGTAGATAAAATTTGTTTATCTTAATTTCTAACTTTTCTTTTCATGAGATTGTGTTTCTTTGAAATGTATTTTATTTTCTAATTATCTTCAACACACTCCTCGCTATGTGTGTATATATATATATATATATATATATATACACACACTTTATTTTATTTTTTTCTTCTCCTAATCTTTACGCGTAATCACTTGTATATCTTAGGGAACATATGTTTATCATTTTTTTTTTTTTACAATTTATTTCTTTATATATTAACACCTAAACATCATTTTTATATCGCATGTTAAGGCCACAGGAAAGCATTTAAAATGATCTATAAGTTCCGCAATATCAGTCTGGAGCTGCGGTCCGGTCAAAAGCAAGTCATTGAGTGAGTTTCCTCCCACCATCTTCTCCGAACCATTAAATACGACTCTAAGTTTTGTCTTGGAAGAATGATTTCATGATGGGTCATGACGTATGGAGAAGGGTTCTTGGCGAGGAGGGACATGATCCAATCTTATATACTCATCCATCTGTGCAGCATAGACTCTTACTCCAGATCTCTCCTAACTCTATTTTCCAGATTTCTAAATCTTCGTAGAGCTATCTCTCTAGTGGATCACTTTAATTCCTCCTGTAAGGAAGGGCTGGTCTGCGTGAACAAAGTACGTATTAAAGGTACAGGGCTTTGGCTTTCTAAGAGGGTGTCCCCAAACAATACCCATCCTGATGAGGTATGAATGGCTTTCGGTTGACCCTTAAGAAATAAAACAGGGTCACTTAAAACCTCACCGCACATCTCGGCACCCAGAAGCAAATCAACTTTTCCTGGCGTATTAAATGGAGGGACTGCAAGTTCTATTGACGTAAATTTATTCCGTACTTCTTTTGACACGGCGAACTTTCACTTATGCAGGGTAATACTCTGGCTGAAAAATCAAATACATTTCTATTTCTCGTTGAATAAAGATACAATTTTTAAAATATATGCTATATTGACACATTACTTCCTAAAACTCTGATTAATAGTACCTAATCCTCCTGATTGCACCTTTCCAGTTCGCTGTGATACAGAATTTTCCAATTCCTACCCAGTTGAAGCCGGTGTTCCACAAGGTAGCGTCTTGGGCTCCGTCCTTTATATCCTTTTTACCGCTGATATTCCTATCCATCCCGATACCTTCCTCGCAACATTTGCTGATGACACCGCCATCCTCTTATCCAACTCAGATCCCGAAATAGCATCTTTAAATCCGCAAAGTCATCTCTCCCTGATTGAGCACTGGTGTAATAAATGGTGCATCAAAGTAAACGAATCCAAATGCAAACACATTACCTTCACACTCCAGCGCAGATCCTGTCCATCAGTCCACTTTAATTCCATCCAGCTTCCTTTTTCAGATACTGTCCGGTACCTTGGCTTTCTCTTAGACTGAAGACTAACCTGGGACCCACATACAAGACTTAAAAGACAAGAACTTAACAGACAATACTGCCAATTATACAAACTACAGAACAGAAAATCTCAACTTTCAATTGACAACAAATTATTGATCTACAAGACAATCCTGAAACCTATTTGGACCTACGGACTTGAACTTTGGGGAACAGCAAAATTTTTGAACATCAAATGCATCTAATCTTTTCAGTCCTCCTTGGTAGTAGACGCTCCGTTCTATGTAACCAACAAAACCCTACATCATGACCTTAATATCCCATTTGTCCTTGACTTTATCTCTGAATTTTTTTCCAAATTCCATCATAACCTCATAAATCATCCGAATCCCCAAGCACAATCCCTATCTAGTTTCACTCATCCCTACAATACTCCTTGAAGGTTGAAGCGGCAGTGGCCCAGTGGCTTAAGTGCTCTCGCTCTAACTCTACTGGCTTTAGCACCAGTGACGTGGTTGAGTGAGTACCGCAGGGATCTCTTGGAGTCCTGCTTTTCCTTTTATAGTTGGAGGGAGTAGCCTGGCTTGGAATTCCCTGCTTGATTGTATATATTTTATATAGATATGACTGTGTTTTTAATTTACTTATCTGTAGGTTATTTTATTTTTTATTGTACATAGTTTTTGATTATTATTTAACATTTTTTTAATTTTATATCTTCAGTATATATGGTGTGAATGTATTCATATATCACTATAATTATTGTCCAAGGACAGATTATTATATTTCTAAAAATAAATAAAAAATAGTACAAGCACTGTTTTTCACTAATGGATGTGGTATGAATAGGGTTTACATATTTTTTTAAAGTAATTATAAGTAATTTATATAATTATTTATAATTAAAAAGAAAAAGAAACTGATGATTATGAAAAAAAATATACAATCTTAATTTTTACTCTTCATATTTGACAATTTATGGGCAAACTTCAAATAGATTTTCCTGAAAATCCAAGTTTTAAACTTAATCTCTTATTTATAAGGGTCATAGGTTTGTTTTATATAATAGATGTTATTGTTTTTTTATATATTTAATGAATTTTTGCTTTATTCCTGTAAAACAGGTTTTAGATCAATATCTTAAAATAAACTAATTCATAACAGTTGCATAAAGGATCAATTTTAATTTTTGTCAGACTATAAGCTTTTTTTTTAAACAATAATAAACAAAAAGTACCAACTAACATTAAATTATATTCAAAACTTATAAATCTCGTCATAAGTTAGCAAATGATTAGCATAGTTTTTTTAAGAATCAAATTAACTGCCTATTAGTTTAAGAAATAAAAAAACTACTTCACAAGTATAGATGGACAAAAATGATCGAGTGAGTCCAAAATTAGTTAGAGGTGACCTATCTCCTTAGTTAGGTTTCAACCACAACTGACGGTACCCATTGGGAGTTCATCTATTTTCTGTTAACAAACAGATCAATTGTTGTCATATAAATAAAGGAAAATTACACCCTTGAACTTGATTGTCAATACTCTGCCATTTTCAGAATACCATCTATTGAATGATCATGTGCTCATCCTTCATGTAGGAGTGATGCTTGTGAAGTAGTATCAAAATCAATTTGATGATCTATTCTATTTAAGATATACAACTTTATAAAATTAGTCAATGCTCTTAATTTTCTATAACTTTAATATCCAAGATTTATAACATATGAAAAAATAAAAATAAAATATAGACAAATAAAGAGTTATAATAATAATTCTGAAAAAAGAATTCAAGATAATGAAAATATTAAAAAAAGTTAGTTATGTCCAGTTGGGATGGACAAACTAAAATTATTACATTTAATAGCAGAGACAAAACATAGTTCACAAATATGAGTTGTATGTATTTAAAATATGTTTGGACACATAACTTCAGGATGGGACAATGTGTGGGCAAACAACACCTCAGCATTCTTAATTCGGAAGCAATGCCAATTTGAATCCAGCCAGTGGGGTACGGATAGGTTGACTTTTATTCAAAGAAGAATGCTCACATGATTATATCTTGGCCTAATCTTAGCCAATGTTTCTAATATTGTCAGAAAAAAAGAGATCACTATACTTATAATAAAAGTTCATATAAATCTGTATTCTTAATTAAATTTCTTCATTCAGCAAATTCTTTGAGGACTAATGTAGCTGTAAGCCAATATTTAATTCTTCAGATAAAAAAAAACTTTGAAAAAGGGAACTGGCACTATCACCTTCAGTAAAACTAGGATTAATTAAGAATGAGTATAATTTTGACAAGATTCACAATACCCACTAGGCAATTATGAATCATGCAACCTATTACTAATCATTGGGTACAATTTGAACTAACATCTAAAACAAAAAAAATAATATTCAAACAAGTGTAAAATATTTATTTAAAAGCCAACATTATAACCTAATAAGAACAAAGATATAACAAATTAAATTAAAAATGTCATTAATGCAATTAATATAACAAAACCATGTTACCATGGTCTTTAATATCACAGATGTATACAAAGAAAAAGCCCCAATTATAATAGCATTTTCCTAAAAAAAAAATAGGAGTTGTAATTAGGCCTAAATAATGTAATTAGGTCTTTATAAACTATTATCAAAGTACAGAAGATACAAAACAAAATAATCATGAAATTAAAATTAAACATTAATATCATCTATATAAATATTATATATATATATATATATATATATATATATATATATATATATATATATATATATATATTGACAATGACACTCACCTACATTGGAATAAACATTTCAGAAATTATATAATTATATTCCAGTGAAAAAAATTGAATTTATTTTAAAACATGTATAAGATAAATCGATAATGAGTATATTATAAAATATTAATCGGTAATAACAAAGACAGATAGCCATTCAACAGAAAAACAACAATCATCTATGACAACCGGTTGAATAGAATGGCCACGTATAAATACAATAACCTCTTCACCGATTAAACAACTAATCGACTGAAATGTCGATCTTTTTCGTCACTGAGGTAGTCCTGAATTTTAGGTGTAGATCTATCAATAAACAAGCCACCTGTTTTACGCAAAACCTTTCAATAATTAGTTTGCTTAAAAAAAACGTGATAAAACTTCTTAGTGACTAAGGTAACAGATTATCTCTCGATCACAAAGCACATCGATGGCAAAAACAATCCTATATTGAATACTTCTTTTTGGTATCTTGGTTTTCTCTAAGAGCGAAGACAAACGTGCAACAAACATATTAGAGTTAAAAGATAAGAACATAACAGACGATATGGCTTGCTATACAGACTAATTACTAGAAAATCTGAACTTTCAATTGATATCAAATTATTGATCTACAAGACAATCCTGAAACCTATTTTGACATACGGACTGGAACTTTGGAGGACCGCAAAATTTTTAACATTAAACGCATCCAATCCTTTCTGTCCAAATTCTTCCGAACAATAGTCGATGCTCCGTTCTATGTAACCAACAAAACCCTACATCATGAGTTTAATATTCCATTGGTCCTAGATCTTATCCCTGAAAAATTTTCCAAATTCCATCAGTCTTACAAATCCCCTTGCACAAGCCCTGTTTGTGCTCACTGGTTTAGCACCAGTGACACGGTTGAGAGAGTAGCGCAGGGATCTCTTGGATTCCTATTTTTTGGAGAGACAAGCTTGGCTTGGTGTTCCCTGCCTGATTGTTAATAGACATGACTGTTTTTTTTATGTTATAATTTACTTATCTTTAAGTTCTTTTATTTTTTATTGTATATACTTTTTGATACGATTTAGTTGTTATTTTGCGTTTGTTTATTTTATGTTTTCTGTATATATGGTGTGAATGTGTTCATATCTCACAATAATTATTGTTCATGTAACAGATTGTTATAGTTCTGAAGAAATAAACGAAAAAAAAGTAATAAAAATTAATATACAACGCTCACGTAGCCAAAAATAAATAAAACATGAGGACGAGTAATTAATATATGAACAAAAGAATGGATGCATTTTTATTAAAATCCTGAGCTTCACAAGTATATAAAAGACGAAAAATTGAACAGTTCATTTGTGCAGTTTTCGGTATTCACTTTTTTAAGTTGATAGAAACACCTGACACTGATCCTGATAGTACGTATTAATAATAATAAACTTGTTACCTTGTTTATTGCATTTACTCTGACAAGTATTTTAAGTCATCTATATCCCCACTCCACCGTTCTGAACTCCACTACACTCAAATCATTGTGTTATTCTAATCACATTAATTATGAAGTATTGGCTCAACAGATTTCTTCAGATCACTAGCGGATCCAGGATTTAACTTTGGGGGGAGGGCTTCAGCCCGAAACGTTTTTTTTTTCATAAAAATAACGTTAACTACTTTGGAAAAACAGAAAGAAACTAACTACCTATATGAAATGGTGTTTAAGTTATTCCTTAAGTACTTTTAAATGTAATTACATGAACAATAATACTTTAAGAGGTATTTTTTAAATATTTTTTCTCATAAAACATGTTTTTATTTTTCCATTTTGGGGGGGGGGCTTCAGCCCGAAAGACCCCCCCCGTAGATCCGCCCGTGCTTCAGATAGATTACCCAAAAATCCATAACTGCCCTTAAATAACTCCTAAGATTCCGTGATTGTATTCCTCTAAAAACCAGACAGCTCCTTGTAACCTCCCTTGTATTCCCCCACTTCGACTACGGCTGCTTGGTGTATGGAGGGCTATCTCCCAGGCTGGAAATGAGACTAAAAAGACTCATGAATTGTTTCATAAGATACATTTTCGGGATCCCCAGACAATCACATGTTTCACTATGGTACACCGAGTTGAAGTGGCTTTATCCTACTTCCCGACGACAATTTCTTCTTGGCGTTTTCCTTTTCCAAGTCTTCAGAACTAAAAACCCTCCCTACATCCTGGAACTCCTTACTCTGCGCTCCTCTATCCACTCTCTCAATACTAAGTCTCAACCTATAGACTTATATATTCCCTCCCATAAAACTTCCTGCTTCAGCAAATCCTTCGTCATTCGTGCTGCTTCCTTACGGAACTCACTTCCTACCCCCATGCGTCAATCCTCATCCACAAATTCCTTCAAACAACTCCTGTCCCAACACCTACTCCACATTCAAACTTCCCCTAACATGTAAACTTACTTGCATCTATACAATGTTTAATTTCAATCCATTGCACAATTGAAATAACAATTAACAATAAATTAGTTGGTATTTTTATTATGTCAGACTAAGATACATAAATTTGTAACTCTGTTATTATTCTTAGGGGACAGTAGTCCCAGAATAAAATTATTTTTTCATTTCATTTCTTTGAAAATCCACACAATGAAATAAATGTTATTAAATATCATATGTGCCAATTTTCACTAATAACAAATACATTTTACAACATGAAAACGTTGAAACTTTAAGAGAGCATGTTCACTGTACCATAGCTGTTTTGTGACCGCTTTAATGCTCTTCTGGAAATGGATAACAATTTCTTTAATTTTGCCAATTGATGATGAAACGGTTATATGATCTAAAACTGAATTTGCTATTAAATTGAGTTTATGCGCAACACAACCGTAATGTTTTATCTTAAATGGGTCACTATTAGTTTTGTTACGTTGCTAACGTTATCTGAAATTATTATCTCAACTTTATTATTTAAATTTTAGTAGTCTATTATTGCTTTTTAATTCGTTCGCCAAATTTTGGCTAGTATTCTTAATATTTAATAATGTGGAGTATAGTTGTTAACTTTTTAGTTGGTCTTCATCCATAAAATGCCCAGTAACACCAAGAAAGGATTCATTTTATGGAAAGGTCCAACAATCTGTTGTTAAGCATATTTTATTTATATTAATCAAACTATTTTGTATTGGTAAATCTGTTAAATCTAACTGGAAGAGGTGAAAAATAAAACTCATTTACCCCAGGAATGCTGGCATGATACTGAATTATTTTTTTCTTAATATATAGTTTGTACTGAATTGATATATTGATATAGCTGATGTGGCAATCCTCTTATTTTTTTTTTGTTTTTAGTAAATTAGTTATCACTTCGAGAAGTGGTGGGTCTGGTGAGAGTGAAACGTCAAGTTGGCTTAATTTTTCTGCCAAACGAGGAAACATTTGGTGATGATGCGTTTACTGAAGATGCGACCATCAGCGCATTCTTCTTTAGTTTCTTGTGTAATGACGATGCAGAGAAGGGATTTTCAGACCCCACTGATCATCTGGGGAATGTTGGTTTTGGATTTATCGTAGGCGAATTCCAAGGTTATCTGGGCTGAGGTGATGACGAACTAGGCTGCGGTGAAGATAATCGTAATATTGAAGGTTATATAGTGATGCGATTTTCTGGAGATGGTGATATGGGTCGATGAGCTGGTTTCAACCAAAGGCGATCTCTTCGGTAGAGCTTAGAGTTGACAGAGACGTTGTATGACGATCCTTGCTGATCTCAAACGTGTCCAAGATGCCAACCTTTGCCAGTGTCATGAGCTTTGACAAAGACGTCTTGTCCAATTTTAAGTTCTGGTAGCGCCTTGGCTCTTTGGTCGTGGTGAAACTTTGACCTTTTCCTCTTCTGGTTGATCCTTCGTTGCACAACCCTCATGACTTCGGGAATGAGAAGTTGACGCGCATCTAGCAATCTATTTCGTGTTCTCCTCGACATCAGACGATTGACGCGGGGCTAGAGTCTATGCGTTCTGAAGGAGTGTTTCTCTATTCAAGTAATGCAGCCTGGAAGCCTATGATGTCACGCGTGCTTTTCTTGAGTAAACTTTTTGCTGTTTTGACAGTGGACCCGGTTTTCCCATTTCCTCGGCTGTTGTATGACATGAACGTTGAGTGATTGAATTCTCATTATATGATGAAGGCGGCAACGAGTCGGCAAACGTCAAATGGTAACATCTCAAATTTATAAAATTGTAGCATGGAATGTGAGGACACTCTTTAGACCTGGGGCCTTTGATGAATTAAGAATAGAGTGCACTAAACAGAATTACGATGTAGTGGCTCATTAGGAAGTAAGATGGTTACGAGTGGGCATGCTCAAGAAGAAAGATAACACGTTATAATACTAGTGGTATTAGGTCCAAAAGATCGGCATGAGTTTAGCTGTGCCTTCCGAGTGAAAACAAGATACAATAGTGCGGTAATGAGCTTTGAAATGAAAGATAAGCGTATCTGTAAAATAAGACTGCGTGGGAGCCTGTTTAATATAACTATCATTAATGTACATGCATCATCAGAATATAAAGATGACAACATAAAGGATGAGCAACGTTGGAGAGGGTCTATGACTCCTTTTCCCGTTACGATGTCAAGATCATAGAGAATGATTTTAACGCCAAATTCGAGAAGGAAGAGGTCTATAAGCCAACAATAGGAATGCATAGCCTACACAGCACCACTAATGACAACGGAAAAAGCTTAGTCCAGTTCGCAGCTTCCAAGATGTCTACAATAATGAGCACTATATTCCCACATAAGAATATTCATAAACAGGCATGGCGAACGCTGTACAAAGGATGTAAGGAGCTACAGAAAACCTTGCATTGATTCAGATCATTACCCAGTAGTAATGAAATTTTAAATGAGAATAAGGATATTAAAGATATCTCACTATCTAACTAAGATAAAGTGGAATACAGAAAAGCTAAAGAAGGAAGAAACGACAGTTCAGTTTAGGGGAAATATAAAGGAATGCCGTCCGACACAAATGCTTGCAACGGCAAACAACAAACAGCAGGAAGTGGAACAGACGAAAAAGATAATAAAGAAGAAGAGAAAACCGATATTGGAGGAGCAGTTAAAGAACATTGAGGAGATGGCCAGTAGGAATGAAAGCAGGGAATTTTACAGAAAGATAGGAGCCATCAAGAAAAGTTATATGCCTATGAGTAATTGATTAAAGAGCAAAGAAGGCCGATTGCTGAATTTAAATA